TTAATTAATAGGCTTGCTTCAGTAATTGATATCGTTCATCACTAGGCTCGATGAATATTACTCGATTGCCACTGAGAAATGGTGTTTGTTATTTCAATAAAATGACCACTATTATATATTGAGGAACATTGTTCACCTCTTGTTATAATTCAGCCCCTTTCCTTCTTTACAACTTAATCCAAATGATCCGTTGGTTATCTACAAAATACCTTGATATTTTACTTTTTCATTTTGGCTATATTTATCCTCTCGATTCTTATCCAATTCCTCTTAGCGATCACTACCTTCCAACGATGCTTCCTTATCTTCGCCATCCTCTATAAGCAACATTTTACCCAAGATATTAAAGGAACACTAATATATATATATATATATTTAAGCCACAGATAAGCACCGGAGAAATTAAGTGATAAGCATTTATGTACTATTTACTAGGTACAAATCCACATAAGCTTCTGGTAATCCATATAGTTTTTCTGGGATTGGTTTTCAAATATAAATTATGGAAACAATTTTCTCTTCACAATTTACATCGAATACTAATTATTATACTGACATTTTTAGCCTCACATACTGCCCGTAAATAGACACCTCGGTTTCTGTACCGACATTTGAGGGTTGTCATCTAAGGTCATTTAAAACCAATTTCTATTTTCTATTTCATACTTTTTAACCTAGTTTTCGAAACTTGGTCATATTGGCAGGAAGACCTAAAGGAACGCACCCTGTCTGGACTCCATAGTATGCATGATAATTTCCAGAGTCTTATCATGAACTTGGTTAATTCTCAGGCGCTTCGCCGGCATTGTCGGTGAGCCTTGCCAGTCTTAGCACCACACTACAACTAGTCAAAGGGACAAGTGAAGTAGAACATTTGACCAAATGTGTGCTAAACAGTTGTGGTATCTCTCCTGTCCTGGGCTATTCACCTATCATATATCCTCATACTACACATTCAATATCACAATTTCTTACTTGTTTGTCTACACCTAATTGAGGTGAGCCCCTTTGACCAGATTAAGTGGGACCTATTCACAAACCTCATTGGTTCTCTCATTTCCCCCCACTGTCATGGGAGTGTTACTTGCCCATTTCAATAATTTCACTCTATCGCTGACACCGTATCCATGCTAATCGAGGTGTTATATTCTACACTCCACCTTAAGACTTTGACAGCATGTATACGCTAGCTTCACTGAGCAAGCTCCTAAAGTCTAAATGTTCGCGTCGCATGGAAGCCTAACTTGACGCTGCAGATTTCCTTGTCAATGTGCTTCATGTGCACCGAGTAAATCTCGTAGTCAGGCCTTTACTTTATTGACCATATCGAGGATCGAACTTATCTACTAATAGCCAGCTATCAATGGTCTCCGCCACACCATCTTGGTCTTCATACTTTCATACTTTTTATAAGTGGATTGATCTCGTTATCGCAATTTGGTCTTGTGGTCATGGCGACTTAGTAGAACACATCTAGTCCGAAGTTGTATGCCATAATAGTTATAATAATTCCCAGCATCAGACAGTGGACTTGTTACATTCTCAAATGTTTCGCCGAAGAGACAAGTGAAGTTAATCCTTCCCACAACTTTCTACCGAAAACAGTTAAACTATCACTGCTCTATCTGTCTTGGCCTATTTACCCTCTTATCCAACTCCCGCTCTATCACAACTTTTGACTTGTTTACATTACACTCGTCAAAATGTGTGCTCTTTTGTGGCGAATCTATTGTGGCCTCATCATACTTGCTATTCACCTTGACCCCTTCTCTTTCAATCGGCTAATCCGACTCGGGCCTACAATCCGGATCCCCTAATGGTCCCGTAGATCCGTTCCTTATCTTTCTGGCTGACCGATTTCACTCGGTTCCAGTCCCAGTGTGCGTTTTACTCCAAACGTAATTTCTCAAGGCTTTAGAAGCACGTACGCTGCCGCTTCACTGAGCAGAGCGCCTAGGCTATGATTGCTATGCTTGCAGATATCAGGTATTCCCTTCACGGTTCATCTCCTTTATTAAACCTGTATAACTTGAGCGAACTGTGGACGCCTATCTCTGGTTGCATGCGGCATCTCAACTGGATTTCTGGTACATTTTGGACATTACGCCGAATTCCTGTGACGGTTTGCTTATCCGTCTGCCCAGTTCCGCGACTGCCAAGCCCCCAAAGTTGTACTGGTTTATTTGTAATGGACATCACTCACTGACAACGTCTTTGCTTTATTGTCGAAAACCCCTGCCCCCCACTTTCTTCATCACGATCCATTATCCTCCGGTTAGCGGTAGATCCTTGATCCAGGCGTCTCCTTTTTGCTGGTCTTGCTCTATTCCTGTTTTCCACGAGTTTGCTTAGGCAGTGGGCAAAGTTATCGCTATCTCTACCTTCCTCTAATTTCCTGTTCATTCGATTTTCATCTTTAAGGATAAAATGACCTCCCCAATTTTCCGTTTCCTTGTGTTGTCACCGTATGGGGTCCTTCTTTCTGTTGCCTTCCAATTGATCTCTTGTCCAGCCTGTGCGATGCGTTCCGCTAGTTCTGATCTCTTGGTATCCATTTTCCTGCAGAGCTTTTGATGTTCCTTGCTTCTTATGCTAATTTTACTCCCTCTTTCGCCAATATATTTCTCTTTGTACGCGCCGCATGATATACAGTAAACTCCTGAACAATCAAATTTGTCCACTCCTTCATGTTGAGTCGGTAGACTTATGAAAATTACTGTTTTTTCCTTAATGGCCACCTGAACATTCCATTTCCTCAATGTTGACCGTTGTTTTTGAGTTAGTTAGCAGGAAGGTGGCATATCCAGTTTTGTGAATGCTTCTTCCTCCTTATTGTTCTTTCATAGTCCCTGTTCTACCATCTGCTTTTCACGGCCCGTATGTTTCTTTGCATCACTTCGCTTGGGTAGCCATTGCCGAGGAATATCCTCGTCCCATAATTCCGCATTCGTTAAGCGTAGACTTCGGATGATCATGCTTCTCATTATTCAAATTTTAGCCTGTAATTTTTTATTATCCCAGCATGGGACTTCTTTCTGAACGATTTCTATTTAACCGTACCATTAGAGCGAATCGCTCCAACATACAGGATCAGTAACCACTCACCTTTCTCTACTTCCATCGTGAATTGAATTTTTCATAAATCTGCGACCATACCAGAGGCCACACCATCTTGGTATTCATATCTTTATACTTTTTGTTGTGCTTTTCAATGATTATACCGATTTACTCATTTTTATTAGCTTGGCTTATTTATTAGCTTATTTTATTAAATTAATTATCCTCCTAAGGTCTATCGTGAGTTGATTAAAAAGATAAATTATTTAATAATAATACTAATACTCATAAATTTCATATTAATTGCTTAACTAGTTTAAATCCATTTTGGATTTTATTTAATTTTGAGCAACTTGCTGGAGCCTATATCTTGACTTCATATATTGTAATTTTTTTTTAATGTGTTTTAATGCATTAACTCTATATTCTCAGATATTTAGACCATGATGGTGGTCGCTGTCCCATTTCGTTATCTACGAGTGGTTCGACTACGTTTTCCTAACATGTTGCCAGGTCTACCTAGGTAAACGAACCTGATTATATTAAGCGTCGGACTATGGACTTGGTATACTCCCAAGTCTACGCGCTGACGCTGGAAATAATCATGCAATCTATAGCTTAGGACAAGGTGCGTTAGTTTAGGTCGTCCTGACAACACAGCCAAGTTGCGAAGACGAGGTAAAACCACTACCAGCAATCTTTCACTTTAATTTATGACACCTGCAGATTTAGGGCTGACTGAGATTCATTTGTTATTTAAAGTGATTTGTGTGTAGCAGGACTCCCTAACGTTGCTAGACTGCATTTATCCTGAATTATAATTTTCATCTTAATTGATGGCACGGCTTGCTGGGCTTGTTCCTCCTATCAATGTAGCAATGCGCATACTGGTACTATGTCGAAAATGTACACTACAATATCCTGGCTCGACTCCTGTTAGACGTGTTGCTGAGACACAGGGAGGTAAAAACTACCTCCCAATCCAGCCTAGATGAGAATACCTTTGTGGAAGTAAGGATAAGTAAAATTCATTGCCATCGTGAAGCCTACTTGTGTCATTGTTGGAAAATTTAGCCATCAATCCTTCATTACCTTATTCAGTCTTTGGTGACTACAGTTCATATTGTGATTTTGTATTACGTTTCTATAAGCTCTTATCTCTAATTTATTCTTTGAGTATTCATAAACAGTCTCTTTTCAGCACCAACCTTGCTGATGATTACTAAGTATGTGTCTCTAGCACTTATGTAACTAAGCCGTTTGCTTTAACGATCTATTCACTTTATTAAGAATATGTTGCAGGTGCAAACATAGTTTATTGGCTTTATATATACATATATATATATATGGGCTTTATATCTATTTGTCAGAATTGTCTCCTGACAAATACATATATATATATATATATAATTTATTTATATTGCGCACGCATTTATACATCTCTAAATATAGTTGTATGCAATTAAATGATTCGCTATTCAAGACACTATTAACTCTTCTGGGGAATAGGAAAGATCTTAAGGCTTTTCCTTTTAATTTATTAACTATGTCGATTTTGGGTTTGAAATTAAAGTCATTATTCGCCAAAGCTTGCAAAATTCCCCCAATATCCTATATTTTCTGTCATTTTGATACATAGATAACCCCTTGTTGAGTCCTGAGACATTCTAGTATAGTATTTCTTTTTTACTAAGGTAACTTGTAGCATTTCTGATTTAGCGACACTAACGACTATAATCTCTCTTTCCAATCAAATCAATATTCTCTGATGTTGATATATGCATTTTCCTCTATTATTATTATTCTTATATGTCTACGCATATTTCTGCACACTTGCTATGCTCATAGCCCACCACTAATCTATTCTTTTATTTTATTTTATTTATGTACTTAAATTTATATTTTGATATTTTAAAACTTATATTTGTTACCTTTTGTAATATATGCAACCCAAATCATATGATTCTTCTATTCTGAGTTTTATTTCGTCTACATCCTTCCTCATAGTGCCACTTGAAGCACTCACTTCAGATGTTGCTGCTCTATCTGCTGGACTCCATTTGGCCGACTCCGAACAACTGCGCTTTGGCCCCGAGGCGACGCCGTCTCGGCTTACCAAATTCTTAGCAGAACAATCACAGCGTGTGGCAAACACAGTTGAACAGTCCGACCGATCGCGCGTCGCCTTCGCTCGTACTCTTGAGTGGTTCGGCGAGGCCCAGGCCAAGCCGAGTCCCGAGCAGTTCTTCGGCATCATTTTGCGCTTTGTGGATCAATTCAAAGTAATATGTCTATAAACTTCTTTTATTTTATTACTCCCCACAAATGGCCAACACTAATGATTATAGATCCTCAGTCTTTTTGACATTCAGATTTGTTTTTTCTTAAAGAAAACTACTTTTGCGGTACAGTTGAATAGATTCTATAAAATGCCCCTTTAAATATTGTTAGATGGACCTTCATTTCGTATGAAAGTGCATGAAGAAGAGATTCGTTGGTCGATCTCACCAGAT